AGTTTCAGTGACCATGGTGACTTAACTGCATGCTTGGAAAGTCCTAAAGAGGAGATTGGAGAAGTAGCCGGACAACTGCGAAGAAACCAAAAGGAGGGAAGAACTGGAAGAACAAATTGAAACCCTGCAAGCCCAGGAGGCCTCTCTGCAGGAAGACAATGTGCGGCTCGACAGGGAGCTCCAGGAGCTTGAGCTGAAACTGCAAACGCTACCTGCTTTGGAGCAAGAACATGTGATGGGACTTGAGAGGAAATTGACGGAGGAGGAAGTCCACTGCTCGGAGATGCAGAAGAGACTCGCTACCATGTCAGTAATGGTAAACCTCGCTCGGCAGACAAAACACATCTACAAGAAGATGGCTGAGGACGTGGCCCAGGAATTGGAGACACCCACTTCCTTTTATCAGAGGGACATCCTCTTCCATGAGCGTAGAGTGCAGGACAGCTAGATGGCCACTGTGTCCGCTCAGTGTGACGTCAAGTTGCTCAGGAGAGAAAGCAACTACAACAGGCAGAAGCTGGCTGCCCTTGAGGCCACGTTCCAGCCTTTCCCAAGTGGCCCTTTTGCTGCTGGGGCTCCACCCACAGCCCACAGGGGCCTGGAGGTACCAGAGGGACCGTGGGCCATCAGCTCCCCCAGGAGGGAGGAGGGTCGCCTCTGTGAGTGCTCAGGGGTCCAGGGCGACCTTCTGGTTTGATTGTGCTTCCCCTGCAGCCCGATCCTGAAGGCAGCAGCTTCAGCAGAACATCAGCAGGTGCTTCTCCCTCTGAGGGAAACTTTCATTGAACTCTTTTTAGTTAAGTTCCTTAATTCATATTGAAATTATTCTTAATAAAGTTTGATAGCATAATTGTAAAGTAGTATTTTTCAAATATAGATTGTTTAATTCCTATGCATACTGCGTTTCCACACGTCTGGACCCTGTAGAAGTACGTGGTATAAGTATTGTGTTTTGATTTAGATAAAGGGCCCCGCTTACGTAAACATCAGTGAAGTTTGACATGGATAGGGTCGTTTAAAGCAAAGTCCATTTCTGTGCGCTGTGAATGGTTATTAGAAAACAGTATAATTTACCTGAATAAAGTTTGGTTGTAAATAACAATGCAAAAATAGTGTCATAGACACTACTGCCACACCATTTAAAGTCCATCATATTTTTATTACTTTAATCTCACTGTTTGTAGAATAATTGAGGGAGGTTGATATTTTGCAACTATTCTTACTTTGTACTTTTTAAAAATAAAACCTTGTTTTTTTTTTTTTTTAAGGATATTTAGTAATTTTTATTTAAGCATTTTAAAAATATATGCAGTCAAAAATCAGTTTTCCCTTGATGGCAAACACACACTCTCTCTCTCTCTCTCACACACCCCCTGCACCACAGTGCAGACACAGGCAGTCTTAGTTGTTATGTTAAACCTGAGGAAAATGTAAAAATAAAGATAGCTGGGAATATTGAAATAAGGTTTTAAAATAAATGAGAAGGGAGAAGTCCTGCACACTCAATTTGTACATACTCCAAAGACTCCTACATTATCTGTACCCTAAAGGATGGTTACGTCAGGGACAGGACAGAAACTCAACAGGACACTCTGTACCCCATGCATGCAGATCCAGAGACTGTGGTGACATTGCAGACCCTGCCTTGGGGCAGGGCCAAGGGCAAGGACAAGGGGTGGTGAGGGGCCCAGACCTAGCCATGGGACAGCTTCCCTTAGCCTAGGCCTGAAGGGAGCAGGAAGGGGCTGGGTATGGTCTGAGCCCAAGACATAGCTGTTCAGGGCCTTGCAACCCTGCCCCTGCCCTCACTCCTGCTGTCCACCCCTTCACTGCTGGGGCACTGGTCACCAGCACCCAGAGGGCCTGGGCCATGCAGAGGAGTCAACTCAGCTGAGCAGGCCAGAGCAGGCCATAAAAGGGACAGGCCACTGTGGAGCTTGGGCGGCACCTGTGGCTCTATGGAGCGAAAGTGTGGATGTTGCTATATCCCTGCTCATCTCTAGCGTCCACGAGTATCTTTTGAGTTTCTGCCATGTCTTTAGTATGGTGGCAAGTGCTTCGGAGGCGGTGATGGCAAAACAGCCCTAGGAGGCCCAAGGACCACAGAGATCACATCCTGGAGAGGGGCGGGTGGACACTCAAGTCCCAGGGACACACAAGGGTAACACGTGCTCTGCAGACTCTTACAGCAGGGCCAAGGGCAGCCGGAGTGGCTGCAGACCACTGGGAGGGGACATGTCTGCTGAGATTTGAAGGCCAGGAGGTGGCAGGGAATGTCAGGGAATGTCCAGGCAGCAGAATAGGTGGGATCAAGGCCCAAGAGCTCAACTTGGAGGAAGATAGATTCAGAGGAAGATGAGGAAGGGGACGGGAGGGGACACTGATGTGGCTCCAGAGATCTCTCTGGCTGTGGGGGGATGGGTGTAGGTGGGCACAGGATTTGGGGAGGGTCCTGACAGGGCCTTGTGAGAGCACAGGGGGCTCCCCTGGAGAGGTCACCAGGATGGAGAAGTGAGGTTTGAGGGCATGTGGGGCAGGGAAGAGATGTGAAGGATGGCACTCTGAGGTTTCCCACTGACCCTGTGGGGTTGGGACTGCTTTAAATCACCCTTCTTGAAACTTCTGCAGGAGACTGGGAACAAGGCAGTGAGGCAGGCTGTGTCAGCCTCATGAAGCAGGTCTTCTGTGGAATAGTGTGGGTAAGACATGTTCATCTGTAACTTCCCCTTGGTGTCCGCAATCCCTGCTGACCCATGACCAGGTGCCCTCATCTCTCAGGTGCAGAGCCCATGTACATCTGTGCAGGGGTTCTGTTGCCAATTATTCTCTGAGATGGCCCAGATCCACTCCTGACAAGTGCTATTAATAGTTCCTCCCAGTTGACATCCAGTCCATCTCATGTCCCATAGATCCTACCTTCTGTCTCTGTTACCTCTTTTGCACTAACATCCTGGTATTTTGGGGGGCAGTTTCTCCTGGACCAATCCCTTTTAAGGGACTCCTTTCACTCCTGTCCCCTCATCTGTCTCCATGAAGCAGCCAGATTGGACCTTTAACCCAGGTCCTGAGCTTGTAAAGCATAAGGCCAGCACCTGACACGTGTGTGATGAGTGTGCAGCAAACCCTGTCCTGGCCCCATCTCCCTGGCTCTGGGGCATGAAGGGCAAATGTCCCAGTTGCCCTGCTTGTCGCTTGGTTTGTATCTGGCATGTGATAAAGAGCTCCCCTTTTCAGTCTTAAAAGTGTTCCACTTAAGACAGTCAATTAAAAGGTCACAACCTGACGTGGTGGTTCATACTGTAATCCTAGCACTTTGGGAGGTCGAGGCAGGAAGATTGCTTGAGGGCAGGAGTTCAAGACCAGCTCTGAGCAAGAGCGAGACCTTGTTCCTACAAAAAATGGAAAAATTAGCCAGGCGTGATGGCGCACGCCTATAGTCCCAGCTACTAGGGAGGCTGAGGCAGGAGTATCACTCGAGCTCAGAAGTTTGAGGTTGCAGTGATCTATGACGATGCCACTGTACTCTAGTCTGCATGACAGAGAAAGACCCTGTCTCAAAAAAAAAAAAAGTCACAAAATGATGGCTTACCTCAGTTAAACTTTATCAGAATGCGCCGTTTCAAAGTATATATGTAAACTCATAACACATGAAACAATAAAACTTCTAGAAGGAAACAGGAAAAACTCTTCTAGACATTGGCCTTGGCAAAGAATTTATGACTAAGATCCCAAGGGCAAATATAACAACAAAAATAGATAAATGGGACTTAAGAAAATCAAATACCTTCTGCACAGCAAAGGAAATAATCAACAGAGCAAATAGACAACCTACAGAATGGAAGAAAATATTCATAAACTATACATCAGACAAAGGGCTAATATCCAGAATCCATAAAGAACTCAAAAAAATCAGCAATAAAAAAGAACACACAAGCCCATCAAAAGGTGAGCAAAAGACATGAACAGAAGCTTTTCAAATGAAGATAGACAAATGGCCAAAAAAACCTATGAAAAGATGCTCAATATCACTAATTATGAGGGAAATGAAAATTAAAACCACAGTGAGGTACCACCTTACCCCTGTCAGAATCCCCATTATTAAAAAGTCAAAAAACAACAGATATTGGCACAGATGTGGTGAAAAGGAAGCACTTATACGCTGTTGGTGGGAATGTAAACTAGTACAACTACTATGGAAAGCAGTATGGAGATTCCTCAGAGAACTAAAAGTAGACCTACCATTCAATTCAGCAATCCCACTATTGGGTATCTACCCAAAGAATACACTTGCATCCAAATGTTTATCACAGCACAATTCACAATTGCAAAGATATGGAACCCACCCTAAGTGCCTATCAACTGATGAATGGTTAAGGAAAATGTGGTCTCTACATACCATGGGATACTACTCAGCCATGAAAAGGAATGAAATAAGGTCTTTTGCAGAAACTTGGTTGGAACTGGAAACCATCGTCCTAACTGAAATATCTCAAGAATGGGAAAACAAATACCACATATTCTCACTTATATGTGGGAGCTAAATGAGGGATATATATGGTTGTAAAGTGGTGTAATGGATATTGAAAACTAAGAAGGGGCAAGGGTTGGAGGGGATTGAGGGATAAAAATCTACCTGTCAGGTACAATGTACACTATTTTGGTGGCGGGTACATTGAAAGGCCTGAGTTCAGCATGATGCAATTCATCTGTGTAACAAAAACACTTATACTCCATACATTTTTTGAAATTAAAACAAAAAAACCACCTGACTTTAAAAACTTAAAAAAGAGAGGAAAAGGGCATTTCAGTCTGAGAAGATACCGTTAGTAATTGGTATTAGCAATCACACAGGAGGGACATAAGTGCAGGGTTCAGTATATAGAACTCTAGCAAGTACTTTTTTAGTTTTAGTGTAAGATAGATGAAAAATAAAAAATAAAGCTAGATTAGGTGTATTATTTCATCGTATTTATTACCCATAGAATCTTTTATTCCCACAGAGCAGAAGAAAGAAGAGATCTGTTCATGTTTTTCCGAAGCCTACATTTTTTTGTGGAATGGTTTGAGTATCGTAAACGCACATTTAAACATTTCAAGGTAAGGTCTGAAGTCATTGACTTGAAACATATATGGAAAATGAAGCTGGTGTTAATTTGGGGATTCACCCATAACATTCTTAAAGTTTTCCAACAGTAGAAAATATTTTCATTGGCTTCTGGAATTTGCAATTATTTGGAATAAGGGGAGGAGGAGTGCCTTCTTGCAAATCAGTGAATAATTTATGTTATGGAATATCTTAAAAGAAGATAATTATTTTCTAATTTACTTTAAAATGCTCATTTTGAAAAATCAGTCTTTCAAGGGTACTTGAAGTAAAACAATAAATGTTAATAAAGAATATAATCGTAGCAAATTTATCATGTAGCGGTACGATCTTAATTTCCTGAGCCAGACTCTGTATATTCAACTTCATAATTATTTTACATTTTGAGTTTAAATATTGAAGCCTGATTCCACTGAAGTAATGCTTCTTAAGTGTGATATGAGTACTTTAAAGTACTTCTTTTTATTCCCTTTGTTTGATTCAGGCAAAGCTAGAATTATGTTTGGCTTCATTGTAATCTCTCAAGACCTATTCAGTTGGATGGCATCAAATTATTGACAGCAATGGTCCTCCCAAAAACCAATTCTGAAAGAATCAACATAAAATAATATTTCAAGGTTCAGGTTTCCTTGAAAGCCTAGATAGGTCATGACTATTATTTTTAGGACTGATACTAACTCTCCTTTATGTGAGGTTCTTTTTTACTATTGTATTTATTCTATTTGGTTGAGGTAATAAAATGTGTCAAGCCTAGGATTTTCTGCACAAAGAAACACGGGTGGTTCCTGTACTACAGTCCCTTGAGTTCTCATGATTTTGTTATATTTTATCACAAGTAAACAGTTAAATATCTCTGCTTTACAACTGGTAAAATGCAATAATGATTGGGAGTGTGCTGGTAGTTGTCGTAATGAATGAATCACCTAATATTGCTGATTCCTTATGCATTTGATTGGGTAGTAGAAAATGTGAGCTCTAGCCCCCGTTTCCAAGGCTAATTTGACTCTAGGTGCATTTCAGGTTGGTGTAGAAGTATAATTGGTTTGTTTTTCTATGGAGGATGGAGCACTTCTATAAGCTGATCTTTGCTGGTGATAACATTACTAGGATGGACAAAAAAAGTCACATTTTTCTGCAACCATCACTACTATCCTCCAGAACTTTTTCATCATCCCAAATTGAAACATACCCAGTAATCACTAACTCCCCATCCATTCCTCCTCCTGGCCCCTGGTACCACTATTCTATTTTCTGTTTCTATGAATTTGACTCTCCTAGGTACCATATATAAGTGGAATGTCCTTTTTCTGTCTTATTTCACTTTGTATAATGTCCTCAAGGTTTATCCATGTTGTAGCATGCATCAGATTTCCTTTTCTTTTTAAAGCTGAATACTCCATTGTATGTACATACATATTGTTTATACATTCATCTGTTGATGGACACTTGGGTTGTTCCCACTTTTTGTCTGTTGTGAATAAAACTGCTGTGAATGTTGGTGTATAGATGCTTGTTCATGTACTTGCTTTCAATTCTTTTAAGTATAATCGTATACGTAGAAGTGGAATTGCTGTACCATATGGTAATGCTATGTTTAATTTTTTGAAGAACCACATACTCTTTTCCATAGCAGTTGTACCATTTTACATTCCCACCAGCAAAGTGCAAGGATTTTAACTTCTCCACAACCTCTTCAATACTCGTTATTTTCTGTTATTTTGATAACAGCCAACCTAATGGGTATGAAGTGGTATTTTATTGTGGTTTTGATTTGCATTTTCCTAATGATTAGCGACATTGAGCATATTTTCATGTGCTGATTGGCCATTTGTATATCTTTGGAGAAATGTCTATGCAAGTCCTTTGTCTAGTTTTTTAATTGGGTTGTTTTTTATCGTTGAATTTTAGGAGTTCTTTATATATTCTAGATAATTAATTTCTTATCAAATACGTGATTTGCAAATACTTTCTCTGGGTTATCTTTTTACTATCTAGATAGTGTCCTTTTATGGACAAAAGTGAATTTTTTCAAATTTATTTTAAAATTTACTTATTTTTATTGACAATAATTATAAATAGTCATGGGATATTCATAGTGATGTTTTGATACATATAATGTATATTGATCAGCTCAGTGTCCTTTCCCCACTGAATGGTCTTGGTACCCTTGTTGAAAATCATTTAACCATATATGCAGGGATTTATTTTTAGGCTGTTTAGTCTATTCCATTGGTCTATATGTCTAAACTTATGCTAGCGCCACACTGTTTTGATTACTGTATCTTTACAGTAAGTTTTGAAATTAGGGAATGTGAGTCTTCTATCTTTGTTCTTCTTTTCAGGATTCTTTTTTTTATTTCGGAGTCTCTTAAAATTCCATATGAATTTTAGGGTGATCTTTTTTATTTCTGCAAAACCATCATTGGGATTTTGGTGATTGTGTTCAGTCTGCATATGGTTTTGGGTAGTATTGTCATCTTAACAATATTAAATCTTCTAATCCACGAACACAAGATGTCTTTCCTTTTATGTATGTCTTCTTTAGTTTCTTTCAGCAATGTTTGTAAGGAATAAATTATTTTTAATTTTAATCCTCTATTTCTTTAATTATTAGTGGCAAGAATGAAACATTATTTGATATTAATATAATGGAATTGGCATATTTTTACTTTCTCTAATTTTTTCCCCTGATATCTTCTGGATCTTGATGATATAATTTGGCTTGTTTATTTTATCTTATTCTTGCAATTTAAGGTTGTGTATATGAAGGTGTAAGGTTACCGATGTTCATATGGTCTTCTTCTTAGAAGTCCCAAAATTATTTCTTTAATTCTATAATTAAAAAATTAAAGACTTTTTACCAATGCTTTTTCTTCCCAATCATTATTTTATTTAAAACTACTGGCTTTTAAATATTTTTAAATTTGATAGTTATTTTTTAGGGTTTTTCTTGGTAAGTTTTATCATAAAAAGAATATAGTAATACATTATTCTTCTGAAAACTATAGTAGAAACGTGACAGATGTCTCCTCTCACCACTTTCCCTAGTCTTGGTCTTGTTACTGAGACCTTCTTTATCAGGTCTCTATTTTCAGATAAAGTTATAATTTATTTCCATCAATTTATTTAAAATTTCGATAATCTAAATATTCTATTTTTATGAATAAAACAGGAGCCCTCTATTTAGATGGATTTTATTTTGCAATATTTATTGTACTTTCAGTTCAAATATGTTCACTATTGTGCTAGGCACTTTGAAAGTATAAAGCTGTGTTTAGCACTGTCAGTAAGCTTTCAATCATAGGGAAATGAGGCATGTACAAAAAATAATGAGAAAGAGGTATAATAATTATGATCATTAGTTACCAAAATAAGTGACTGAGTTAATAATCATCGTTAGAGTAATAATTGTGGCTGTAAGAGATCACAGATACTTTTATGAAAAATTTTCATCTTGGGGGTCAACCTTGATGAATGGGATAATTAAAAAACGTATATGATATCATGCTAGGTAGGAAAAAAACCAGAAGCAAATGCTTATAAATGGGATAAGTATGTATTCTGGTAATGGTATACAGAGACAACTTGATTCCAATATATAATTTATATTGGACATAATGTTGGTACTTTTATATACACAGTTCAGGCTCATGTTTCTAAAACACTGATAATTTTGTATTTAACTTCAAAGCAATGTGTAGATTAAGACTTTTGAGTGGGGTACAGGCAGAGGAAAGTTATTATAGTAACTTTAATCTGGCAGCACTGAGTCATCATAAATTATCACTATTGAAGATAAGATCGTTAATCTTATCTTAATCATATCAGTTCAAACTGGATATTTAGAAAGAAACGGGATATTTAGAAAGCACAGAAACTTTATTGTAAATATTTAGTTTGTTAGGATGAACATGGGTGTGTATGGCTGGGAAGGTGGTGTGCAGTACACCACAGAATACTGTTTTCTTATGTTTGCACAAATTTATTGATGAGATTCTTATTCCTATAGTGTAAAAGAAAATATTTACAGTTATCTCAGATTTGAAAATCTGTACAGTGGAGACCCTTGTGGCTATCCTCTGAGAAATAGATGAACTTTTTATATTTTCTTATAAGCATACTGGTTTGGGCTTGCTTGACTTTTTAAGGATGTTTTATGGTAGACTTAGAATGTTAATATTTAGATAAAAGAATATGTTTTACAATTTTACTGAAGACATTAGCTGTGTGACCACAAAGCAGAATAACTTTGAATTTCTATATTAGCTCTTTATCAGAGAGTGAAATTCTACTTTATTTGGAAAATTTTACTTAGGTGTGAGAGACTATTACCCTATCTCTCAGGCTAAGTGAAAATATGGTAAAATAGCTGCCTTGATAGGAAGAAAACGAAGTTCCTACTTCAAAAGGAATAATGTATGAATCATAAAAGAAAAATGGGAGATCACTGGAAATATTTAGCTTTTCAAAGTTTTTGGAACATCTGCCTTAAATGCTTTTGGAATACAGTAAAGGCCAGGAAAAACAAACAGTTGAAGGTTTCTTGGACTTATCCTTACATCATTAATAATGGGAATAATGCCTCTCAAATTTGGGTACTTACATAAAAACATGTCTTTTAAATGGTAGTCAGATATAAACTAGAAGGATTTTGTAATGCTGTTTACATATTTTCAATTACTTTGAACACAGAGATTCAGTCTTTTTACTTATTACATGTAAGATTTTTGAACATCCTTAAAACATCAAATTCCTTCATAATGAGATACAAAGTTAATATTAAACCAATACTAATATTCCTTTAGACATTTTTGAAAGATTATAAGTGTGTGTACATTTTAGTTTTATGTTGTATTGATAGAGGTTAAATGTATGACCCTATTGGCAATCTTTTTAAGCAAATAAAACTGTTTGGATGCTTTCCCAGGCTGATTGGATTGCCCTCCAAGCGTATCTCTTCAATGCGGTCCCGAATGTAACTGGTATCATTAGC